TATATATATATATATATATATTTATTTATTTATTTATTTATTTATTTTTTTATAAAATCTATTCTAAATAATGAGACTCAAATAGTGGCTAAATTTTTTCTCCCTCGCTTTATAACAAATTTAAAAAGTGGAGAAAGATTTAGAAAAGTCTCAAGTGAAAATCTCAATTCACGGTAAGGAAGAAGACATGAAAAAAATATTTATTCCAAATTGTGCAATTAATCAATGGGTTAATTTCACAAACGGTTATTGAACTTACAGAAAAATTACAAAATCGTCACTGAAGTTTAAAACTTTCAGTAAGTATTGGGACACTTTCAAAAAGGTCACTGAAGTTTAAAAAGTTTCTGAAACGGTCACTGAAATTGAAAAACACTTTTTTAGTTTTTTTTGTTACATTTGCGGCAATTTTTCGACTACTTCTAACCACCGATACCATCGAATTTTGATACCGTTGGAAAGCTCACAACGTCATCTTCAATTACCACTCAAAATCTATCCGTAACACCAAGGAATTCGACCGGAAAATCACCGCAAAAGTCGCCGCAAAAAATCTGCCCAGATTTTCAGATTTTTGGACGACTTTTACGGCAATTTTCCAGCGACTTTCGACCACCAAGATTGTCGGATTTTGATATCGTTGAAAAGCCTACAATGTTCTCTTCAATTACCATTCAAAATCTATCTCCCCCAAACTCCGAAGGATTCGACAGGAATAAACCCGCAAAGTCGGCATCCTAAAAAAGCGAAAATCTGGGATGCCAACTTTGTGAGTTTATTTCGGCCGAATCCTTTGGAGTTTTTGGGAGATTTTGGATGCTAATTAAAGAGAATATTGTGGGCTTTCCAACGGTATCAAAATTTAGTTATTTTGATGGTCAGAAGTTGTCAAAAAATCGTCGCAAAAGTCCACCAAAAATCTGAAAATTTGGGCAGATTTTTGCCTTTTCGGGTAGCCAACTTTATGAGTTTATTCTGACCGAATCTTTTGGAGTTTGGGGGAGATTTTTTGTTGTAATTGAAGAGGACATTGTAGGCTTTCCAACAATATCAAAATTCGGTGGTCGGAAGTGGTTGAAAAATTGCCGCAAAAGTAGCTCAAAATTTTTTAAATTTCAATGACCATTTTTAGAAGTGTCACAATACTTAAGTGACCGTTACTGAAAGTTTTAAACTACAGTGACCGTTTTGTAATTTTCCTGTAAGTTCAGTGACCGTTTGTGAAATTAACCCATTAATCAATTGCACCAAGAGTGTGTAACTTTCTTTTCAAAAATAGAATTTTTGATAGTGAAAATGGTAATTTTGAAATTTAGGTTCGATGGAATAAATAACTTAAAAGTAAATTTAAACTTTTTTAAAATACATTTAAACAAGTTTAAAGGGAATGAAGTATCATATCCAAAACAAAATATAGAAATTGAAAAATGATTTTTACACCGTCTACTGAATATGTTCATACATCCATTTCAAAAGTTCATTTATTCTTTTTGATAAAATAACAATTTAAAAGTAAATTTTAACTTATTTTTATGCCCTTAAACAAAATATGAAAATAAAAGAAGAAAAACAAAAAACGGGATATTATCAGCCCAGCCCTGAGGCTGCACCAACTGAAGAGATCTACACACACAGTAAAATACATCTGTATAAACGTCTGTCTATACATATATGCCCCTGAATCATTTTGCTCTATCTTTTTTCTCTCTCTTTTTAGACTCTATTCAGCTGCAACCTCTACAGATAACTTCTCATGCAAATTATTTCCCAAACATCACTTGTGCTTTGACCAAATCGGTGATCATGAAGATCTTTTAAGGTCATTGACTAGTTCTTTAGCATTCATATGGGTTCTTTTTTATTTTTCATTTCAGGCTTATGGGGTTTGTTTCTTTTTTACCTTATATGTTGTAAAATGAGTTTAATTGATTCTCTCTCTCTCTCTCTCTCGTAATGGGTTGGTGTTGAATTTTGTATAAATGATGTTGGTGTTGAATGTTGGATTGTGGGTTTTGATTGATGACTTTGATTGACTGAATATGCTTGAATGTTGGATTGTGGGTTTTGATTGATGACTTTGATTGACTGAATATGCTTATCCTGTTCAGGTGAATTTCACTGTGTTGACTCAGGCCAAAAGGTTCTTTTTCTGGGAGGCGTTGCCGAAAGTTGGAATACATGGGATTCAGAAAGTGATGATTTTTATGTTAAAGAATTGACCCAGATTTGAATCTAAAGTAATTTTCTCATAATTTAAATTATTACTACCTTTTTAAGCTGGCTAGTGAATTCAGATTGAACTGAAAATTTGAGAGTTATTTCAGTACATCACTCTGCAAATAACACAAGAGTGTTAATGTTGCTTGCTTGTACCTTTTTCTTACAATTAAATGTTTGTTAAAACTAGTTTACCAGTTTTCAGTCTAGCTTCTTAGGGTATTATGTTGGGAGTAATTTGTGTTTGGTGCGGAAAGTTTGTATTGTGTTGATGAATTAATAAAAAGATGCTAACTTGTGGAATGTTTTATGATAAGTGGTTGACAGCTATGAAGAAATAATTGGAACTTTTGCTTTATTAAAGCATCTACCAATTACAATTACGCACTGGATAATCGCACACATTAATGGGTATAAGCATTGCAGACATACATATGCAGCACGTGTGCTGGTGCGATTGGTCCCTGGAGCTATCCCTTTACTTATATACAATCAGCTTTTATGTGTGCCTATTAAAGGACCTTAATCTTGTACAAAATTTTATTGAATGTTTGACATAAGATGTGGACTAAAGAATTTTGTCATTTTTGTGGAATTTTGGAATATTGAATGCTCAATTGTGTTTGCTTCTGACGGGTGGTCTTAGGATGGGCTGCGAGTGTTCAAAACTCACCTCATGTTGTTTTATGTCGGAGCAAAATGGACCAGTTCACGAGGCACACAAAGCTGGTGTGTCAAAACCTTTCCTGCTTCCCCTTTTATGGGTACAGTTTCCTATCCCATTTTGTGCGATCAAAGAGTCTGTTTTAATAGTATCTACATTTATTTGGCAGAAAATGAGGAAAGAGGTGAAGTTAGTGATTTGCTTACATTTCGTGAATACTCCATTGAACAACTGAGGGTAGCTACATCTGGGTTTGCAGTAGAGAACATTGTTTCAGAGCATGGGGAGAAAGCCCCTAATGTTGTTTATAAGGGAAAGCTGGAGAATCAGATGCGGGTTGCTGTCAAACGATTTAACAGGTCGGCTTGGCCCGATTCCCGGCAGTTCTTAGTAAGTGGCTCTTTGAATGTTGTATTCTTGCATTAAATGCCATTTTGAGGAAGGTTTTTGTTAATAACTACTGGGGATATAATCGATGGAGTCTCTTTTTCACCCTTCATCTCTAGTTCCAATTCACCTCAATTTTTGGAGTTATTATTTTGTGGATGACGGTCAGCTTTATTTATTACCTGAATGTTTGTGATTTTATCTTCTCCATATCAGAGGCTCGGGATAGTGACAACTTACAGCTTAATATTATATGGTCTTACAGCGCTCTAGTCGCTTTTTAAATTGCCCATTTACTCGATTGCTCAAAATAAAATTGAAAATTTTCCTTGCTGAAACGTCAGGATGAAGCACGAGCTGTTGGCCAACTTCGGAGTCACAATTTGGCAAATTTGATTGGCTGCTGCTGTGAAGGAGACGAGAGGTTGCTTATTGCAGAATTCATGCTCAACAAGACACTTGCAAAACATCTATTTCACTGTGAGTACATTACATGCAATCTATTTATAGTCATTCCAATTTATTTCTAATATTGCATAGGTGTTCTTTTATATGTAAAGTAATTATGAAGGTTGCTTCATTTCTAATTTTATTTTATTTTTTATTTTTTTTATTTTTTATACTTATTTGTCCTCTGTTGACACATAGGCTCTTTTCTTCTATATTTTGTTTAAAATATAAGTGAATTCTCTTTTAACCAACTACATGGCGGGAAGTGTCAAGGAGGTTGAAAAATGCTGATATCTGTTTGATGCTGGTGTGGTCTGCCTTTGCTGTCTGCAGATGTAATGCAACAGTCTTTCTTAATCTGTACTATTTATAAAGTGGGATCGAACTTATAGTGTTTTCGCTGAAAGCTAAGTTAATTACCAGTCTAAACCATTAAGGCAAGTCATGTCTAAAATTGTTAGCGCATCTTGGACAGTAACATATGACAAGTGAGACCATCTGCATCTACTGGTCTCCAACATCATTGGCTCCCCTGCATTCTACGTGAAAAAAACTTTTGTGCCTTTCATATTTCTGTTCAATTCTTTTAACTGTATGGACATGTGCTAGTATTTAAATGGCTAAGTTGTCGCATCTGTTAGTGTTTAAGCCAATGTAGGTGAACTGCGATCATTGAAACTACCTCATTTCCAAAAACTCCACTTTCCCTGTTAACCCAATAGAGTGATCAAAACGATGAAAAGCCATGTAGGCATAGATACTGGTGTAAATATTGACTGCATATTTGAGGTTTTGTTTCCCACAGTTGAATTATAATTTTAAACTTCTGGTTTCTTTAATTTCTTTGACAGTTAAAGTTTGCTCACATGTTGTATGCTCTCTCATTTTAACCTAATTGTACTTGGACCATTCATCTATTTGCTATTATTATGACATTTACTTGTTGATTCAGGGGAGACACAACCTATGAAGTGGGCAATGCGGTTAAGGGTGGCTTTATATATTGCACAAGCCCTGGAATATTGTACAAGCAAAGGACGTGCACTTTATCATGATCTTAATGCTTACAGAATAGTCTTTGATGATGTGAGTATGAAATTATTCTGATCCTAATTGTCTCTTTTCTCCTCGAGTCTGCATTGTTTGAAGTGTTTATTGACAAAATATGTGCAAAATTTATGCTTCCGTTTTCTTCCCTTTTTGTCATAGGATGGTAATCCCAGATTGTCATGCTTTGGTTTGATGAAAAACAGTAGAGACGGCAAAAGCTACAGCACTAACTTGGCATTTACTCCACCGGAGTACCTAAGGACTGGTACTATCTCTCACTCTAGAAATAAGTCCCATAAGTCAAATTAGCTTTAAATGGCAGTCTAATTTATTTCTTGGAATGTCATGTTTTGAGATGAACTAGTCCTATTATGAAGATTTTCCTGCCATCATCTTTCCGAGAAGATGATAATCACTTATGTTACTTGGCGTCAAAGAATAAATTCTAGCAGCTTTGTACATGCCACACTCAGCTTTCGAAATTTTTTATGATGAGTTCTTCACTCACACTTATTATGTGTTAAAACCAGTCATAATACATCTGGAATTCTTGCTCAATGCTCACCCAATGAGAATATGAATTCAATGCAATTTAATGTACAAACCATGGTTCACATTTGGAGACTACCACAAATCATCGGAGATCTTGTATTAGAATATCTTCATATATCATTTTAACACTAATATTTAGTCTCAGTTTATTAGTTTTCTCTCTGTTTGAGCTTTGTCTGCAAATCACGGGACTGTTGTTGATAGCTATAAGTACAATAGCTGAAAATAAAACGATAACAATCTTTTAGCCTGGAAGAAGCTTAGTTACTGCAACTTAATATTCCAAACAAAACCACTGCCATGTTTCTTGAGTACCGTATTATAGTACTCCCACACAAATAAATAAATAAATAAATAAATAAATAATAATAATAAATAAATAAAT